TATATACACACACACACACACACACACACACACACACACACACACACACACACCCCCACCGCTTAGGAATTTGAGCAGGGGTTTCCAGAGCCAGTCTCCTGCTGGATCCAGTCCTGCTCTGGGAACAGCCAGTAAGGACCTGAGTACTTAGTACGTCTCTGCCTTTCTGGAACACTGGGTGTACCCTGGCACCTCCCTCCATGCCAGGACCCCACAAAAAGCGAGATTTCACCCAGTGTTTACATAAGGGGAGGTTGGCTCTCGTATCATACATTGCAGTACAGCCAGTTACAAATGTAAATCCCCATCTAATAAAAAGCTAGGCTGCCTTTCTCTTAGTTTTTGGAGGCTTTTAGGTGCCTGGGCTGGCCCTGTCACCTCCACCCCCCCACCCACCCAGCTGATCCACCCGGATCCCTCCCACGGGCTGCTCATCCTAGGACGGGCTACCTGCTCGCACACAGCATGCATCACTGCTCTGGACAGAAGTTTAATCGTTCCTCTTCCAAGTGCTTCTTTCTTCCGCTGAGCACTGAACACCTGCAGCTCTTTTTTCTCCTCCTCACTCAAAGTCTGGCAATATCGCACCTTCCCAGAAAGGAAAACAGGAGCGTCACACACTGTCGCGCACGATCTTCCTCGCCAATTCTGTCCTCCCAGAAGTGAGTTTCAGGAAATAAAATAGGAAGGGTAGCTAGCCTGCCCCGATGAACCCCCAGTTTACAAATGACCCCATACCTTTAAAATGACGCCAAATCTCGCAGCCTCTCTAGCCAAAGGGAAATGCACTCTGAAGGAATGGTCTTTTCTTTTAAAATGTGAAATGTGTCATTTAAACTCATCAGCAGAGACACTAAAAAATGTGAGATGTTAACCTTTCTGCAGAAGGCTTAAACTTGTTAATTGCTGCTTTCAGGTACATTCTACAGGCACCCAAGGCAATTGCGGGCCTGACTATACCACAAAGCAGGGACTCGACGAGGGGCAAGGAAATCGCAGGAATTTGTAGGCTCCCGGTAATTGGTGGGTGGCTGCAAACACTATAAAAAGCAACTTGTGTTTAGTTTATTGCACTGACACCCTTTTCTCTTTTAAAGAATGGAAACACCGTATTCTCCTGTGCCGTCTGAACCGAAGAAAGGCCCAGCCAGGGAGGAGCTGGGTTTATGGGAGGCATCTGAATGCTGAGGGTGGATTTCTTTCTTTTTCTTTTTTTTTTTCCTAATTAGCCTTCTTCCTGTTATTTTACCTCATTATCATGTGGTGGCAACTGGTACAAAAGCTGTTTAATTCGATGTTTCTCTCCAGGGCTGTTAACGTAAGGGACCTTTTCCTCCGGCAAGCAAGCAAAGTAGAGCTGGATCTGAGTGAGAGAGGACAGGACACATCGGCACACAGGAAGCTAACATTTCAGCTTATTCCACCTTAAAAAGTTACCCTGCCCCTTTAGGTACTGGGTCTGGCTTCCGGCAGGACCTGGCTCCTTGCAGCAAACGGGAGACCAGCTGGCCCGGCCATGCCGGCCCGGCAGACCCACAAACCCTCAGCCAGCTAGCATCCAGCTGCTAAACTGCTCTTCAGGAATGTAATTTGTAGTGACAATTAGGGGCATCATAAATTCTGCACCAGAAAATATTCACGTTTAATGCTAGTATGCCTTAGCCGATCTCCCGAGAGCCCTGAAGGAATACTGGGAGTGGCCACCCAGGCTGTGTGACACTGTCCAAAATCCAGCCACTACACCAACACCTCTGGGTTTCACACGTTACAACGACAAAGGCTGTTCTGTTAAACTCCGTAAACGCTCCCTTCTCAGGTCCCTGCAGGCTGCGGCTTTCCTGGCTTCCGTGGTGCGGGAGTCGGTTTCCCCGCGGAAACCGGAGGGGAGCCGTGTGAAGCTGCACTTGGTTCATTCTGAAAGGAGAACTCAGCTTTTGTTTGTTGGGGATCTTCTTTTTCCCTGTTGTATCTAAAGGAACATCCCTTCCTGGGTGCTGCAAAGGATACTGCGATGCTGAGGAAGAATGAAAGGGACTCAAGTTAAAAAAAAATATAGAAGATTAGGGAATTGAGGGGACTGCTGGTTTCAATGTCTTAGTATTTCACAAAATCGGATACTCACCCTAAGCTGCAAGAAGGGTTCTCTCCTAATAAGTAATTTGTCAAAACACTGCCTTCCTGCCGGTGCACCAGCAACCCACCCTCTGCCACCATATCAGCCACAGGAGCGTTTACAGCTGCAGACACTGGGTACCAGCTGCATGTGTGCCAGGAGCTGCACTGGCCCCAGATGAGTGGGGGCCCCTATTCTCAGAGGGGTTCCCATCAGTCAGGAAGTACAACCCAACTCAGAAGCAACCGTGCACCCAACTGGCTCCTTTTATTTCAAACTATCTCGGCCCTTATGATAGTATCCATCAGTGGCAATTTTTAACAAGTTTGTCGTTATAAGGATGCTGGGAAGATACAAAGAGGCACACAGAACGTTCTCATCTTCCTAAAAACAGCAATACAGCAAAGCACAAAATCAGCTCTTTAATTTTTTTCTCCAGTTCACGCTGTGTGCTGGCAGAATCTCTCGTGTGCCAGGTTATCAAAGGTCAGATGCCCAAGCAGTGACACTTCGGATGGACTCTGACAGCTCTGGGTTTCCTCTCTTCCAAAGCAAAGGCTCTGCTGAGAACTGGCATGAAAACTCTCTACCCTTTCCTCTGATTGCCCTTTTGTTGTTACTGAAGTTTCTTAAAAGGTTAAATTCCTCTCACTCTCTCCGAGGGGACTTGCCAGAAATCCACGTAACAAATGCACAGGCAGTACTCCAGGCTTCACTTATTAGAGCAAAAATCGTATCCGTAGAGGGCTCCTGGAAACTTGAAAACTTGTCATTGAGAAACCAAGTAGGGCCTTCATAAGTAAAAGCTTTAAAAACCAGCCAAAGAAGAATGAGGTCCGAGGACACAGCACGTCTGTGTGACAATGACTTCTATGATTTTTTAAAATAACTCTTAAAAACCATCAATCACATGGAAAGGAAGACTGGACAGGAGGGTGCACCGGCCCCTACCTGCTCGGGCCGGAGCCCCGGGGGCACCCAGGCGTACTCCTCCAGCGCGCAGCCCGAGTCGTCGTCCGACGTGGAGCTCCTCTGGCAGCCGAAGGCCAGCTTGCCCATCTTGGGCTCCATCTCCAAAGGCATAACAGTGAAGTCGCAGAGCTGGCTTCTCAGTCCCAGGACATCAAACAGTGGCAGCTGCAGACAACACAGGGAAAAAAAAATCGAAGAAATGAAGACCTGGAAGGTCTTACCTCCAGGAGCGTTTACTGGAAGCTCGTTTACCCGTGGCTGTCCCCAGAGAAAGTCACCAAATCATTACCCCCAGCGCGCAGGCCCCCAGACTTGGAATCTAAGGCTGCAGGATTCAAAAGGCGGTCCCTGACCAGCTCAGCATTTCCAAAAATGCCACCAAAACTAGTTTATCCCCAGATGCCTTTAAAAAGGTATTCCTCTACATACTCCTCTTTAGAAAGTTTCTCAAGAGAATTGGCTTTACTGACTTTTGTAACTTCCCACAAATGAAACCCTACGAAGCCCCAGGAGTTGTAGAAAGCAGCTGGGTTCGCGCCTCCGGCCGTGCCCACCACGATGTGCCATGGAAAGTGGCTCCAGTCACCCCACTGGGTACCCACCCTCCCGCCATCCCCGTTTCCTAATGGATGTTCCCAACGGGGCCACGGCTGCCGGCACATAGTAGGTCCGCTTGGCCACACCACTTAGGTTTCAGATTTCTCATGAAGTTTAAGAGGTACTGAACTGTGTTTACTCCTGGAGTAGAAACAGCACAGTTAAATCCACAAGCCTTGACAATCTATGGGCTAGAGGCAGCCATCCGTTCATTGATGAGTTCCTTCGACAGAAAGTAATTGAATCTAAGCACAAGGGTCAAGTAAGATCCAGCTCGGTGACTGTCAGCGCTGAACTGCGTTCCTAGCAGGCTTCCCCTGCACAGCTCTGCAGCACCTACTGTGTGCCACACGCCGCGAGCCCGCCGTCGGGCAAAGTAGGTGTAAACCCAGCTCTGACAGTCTCCCTGGACAAAGGCCTATAAAGGTGTCAAGACAACAGTCCCTGACCCACAACCCAGGAACTTTGTCATCACTATGTAGCTCCTTCTGATTCTTAAAAATCACCCCTCACACCCCGGCCCTAAGAAGAAAAAAAGATAACAAAAGCCTTTCAGAATCAGATGCAGCCTTTTACACCTGCCGCTTTCCCTGTCCCCCCCCCACCCCGAAAATAAGTAAAAAGAAAAAAATATAGACAATTACCCCAACCCAATTGTAAAGGAATCAAGGCTCAGAGAAGTTAGGTGACTTGCCCAAGGTCACACAGCTAATAGCCAGAGTCCAGTCACACTGCACGCCTGACACATCACACTTCCAGAAGTACTTCTGCCTTAACAAAATTCTCTCATTTGCTTCAAAAGGTAGAAAAGGCAGTGGAACGAAAACACCGTCAGCCTGAGACCTGGCCATTGGTCAGGGATGCTCTCAATTCAACTCTAAATACATGTAGGTCAGCGTTAGAAAATGTTACCTATTAAAGCCTATGAGTATTCAAACTTACGATTTTCCCTTTATCAATCAAAAGACATCGAAAAATTGAAACTGTAACAGTTCACAAATGGGAGGCCAGACATCCAATGGCTACAGTCTTTACTCGAAGTATGAGAAATGCCACACGGTAGAGAACTATTCCGGCTAATAAGCTGAACTTTCGTTCCCCCTGAACAAAAAGTAAAGATGACCTCATTTCCGACAGCACCACTGGGAGGCACTGGCCTTTTAAACGAGACATCACCTCACACAGGTGCGGTTCATTCATGTCTTGACTTAGGAAAGGCTTCTAAACACAGGCGCATTCCTCTTACTCCTCAATAAAGAAGGACGTGTTAATGAAAGTCAGAACACTTCTTGGATCTGGTCTTCCCCTTTTGTTTTGAAATAAACAACTCCCACACGCCGAAGGAAGAGCAGCAGAGGTTAAGAGATTAATTAGTAAGTAACTCCAACCACCCCACCAGGAGAGGGGGCGCCTGCCATGCGATGATGTACCCTGAACCATTAAAGGGGCGCAGGTGTCCCTGCCAAACCTGGAGGGGGACGCTAAGGGACCGGCTCTGCACTGACTTACAGAGAATATGAGTATTAATAAAAGCTCAAAATAAAATGTCACTGCATTTTAAAACAAGAGAAAACCCCACATATTAAGACAAACTGCATTTTCCAAGCTAGCACAAAGATGCAGATGGCCAAGGAGCTGAATTGCTTTACAGTGTATTCCTTGATTAGCCTTTGTGACAAATGTACCGTGATGACTGCCCTCATGAAGGTGGATCACTCTAGCACTAAATGCCTCGGCCCCGTCCTCCCCGTCACCTGGATGTGCCGGCCACATCTCAGGCCTGCAACGCGCGCATCCATCCCAGCCTTGCCTCAAACTGTGCTGGGACCGTCACTCATCGGCGATGTGGCGAGTCCGGCTGAAGGGACAGAAGTGACATGGGCATGGCTTTCAGCTTCCTCTGCTGTCACCGTGGCAGCTAACTCACCCCTCCTTGCCCGGCCTGGCAGGATCGGTGTTATGACATCCAACCACGGCAGCAAGCAGCCCCGCCAGGAGGAAACTGAGCCTCAGAGCGACTGGCCGCGGGCAGTGGCCTTTGAAGTAGGTTCATCGTGACCTTAAACCTGTCCAGCCCGCGCTGCCCCCAGCGAGGAACCTCTTCCCTGGTGACCTAGCCACACCGCAGATGCCACAATGCCACCACTGCACGGGGGACAGGCCACTTCACCCAGCGAGGGCGTTTTAAGGAGAACATACCACCTAAGAGGATTATCAAAACTCACTGACTCAGGAGCTGTTGCTTCTGAGGTTTTAATTTGGAGAAAGCTTCTTCCTTTATACCAGAGGGTAATTACTTAAAGGACAAGACATTACATTACTTAGCAGGTTCTCAGAGCTGACCAAAGAATAAACATCAGAAAAACAGGTTATATAGCATGACCTCCACGTACCAGATGCTAAATTACACTAGCTACTTTTTCTCTGATAATGTGAAAACCTGAAGTTGGTATTTTCTGGTTTTTAAAAAAAATTTTTAAATTAAAAAAAATTTTTTAACAGAGGGACTGGGGATTGAATCCAGGAGCTCATGCATGCTAAGCAGGTGCTCTACCACTGAGCTACACCCTCCTCCCTGGATTTTTCATTGTTCTCCTTTTTAAAGATGACCTGTGCCTGTCAGCAGACCGAGTATACCGCCGAGTACATCACAGTCTCAGACTGCATCACATGAAAGCGGCTGAGTGCTAAGCCTGGTTCTGCTCCTGTAAGAACATACAAAATAATGAATGACAACCATGTGATGTCACAAATACCCCTCATGCAGACTTTTACATTACTAATGGCATTTTCTTTGCAGCACAAAAGAAAAGAGGGAGGCCTGGCCATTACTTATGCTCCGGGTCGTGATGAGGGTCTTCCTCATGACATCTACGCGTGGCTGTGTTTGGTATGCCAAAACACCACCTTTTAGGCCAAACATGAAGCCATGGGTGAATCAGATCTAATAGGAAAATGCCACTAATTTGATTTCCAGGTGTTGTCTCTTAAGGTTGACCGTGTGAAACAGGGACACAGATCAGGTCTGCAAATGAGCTGAATAATGGACTAGATAGAACTAATCAACGTGGGGGTTACAATATACTGTGAAACAGGTTTTCAAGGTTTTTTTTTTTTGGCAGAACCACATTTAGATGGACAAGAGTGGCCCTGTCCTGTGCCTCGTCCTTTATCTGATTTGTTATTTACTTATTTTTGTAAATTTTCATTTTGATGTAATTTCAAACTTCAGTAAAGCTGTGAGAAGTTAGAAACTCCTCTATTGCCTTTCACCCGGACTCACCTGTTGTTCACATTTTGCTTCGTTTGCTTTCCATCCTCCTCCTCTCCCTCCCTTTTCTCCTCCTTCTCACAGCCACACACACACACACACACACACACACTTTTGTGGGAACCATTTGAAAGTATTTTACATTCTCTCACCTAACCACAATTAAACATGGTGTCTTTAAAAAAAGGTTATTAAAAAATAAAACCCTGTTAGATGATGGAGACAAGTAGAATAAAAAGCCAAAATGGTTCAAACCATCAGTATCCTGTGCTTATTCTGGTTTGAAATGCTGTAATAAGCTGAATGAACTTCATCACAGGTGAATGGCAATCATGCAGGAACCAGCCCTCTGCGCTAGGTCTGCCCCTGTTCAGGAAATGAATGGGTTGGGGCGCCCCTCTCCGACGTCTCTGCATACTTCTGGCTGTAAATACGGCTCCTAAGGCAGGGAAAAGCAGAACAGTTTTCGGGGACAGGTTTGTTCAGGTTCGAAACAGTCTGACCATGAAGGAGACGTGCAGGAGAAACGTCTTTAAGAGCTGGTGACACAGTCAGAGGCCCGAGGTCAGCCAAGGAAAGAGACTTTCCTAGAAAGATGAGGCTTGCAGTGGAGGTGCCCCACACAAGCCGTGCAACAAAGTGGAAGGGGCCCATCTCCCCCCTCTGTCCTTTCTTTCCCTTCTTCCTTCAAAATAATTGAACAGCTACTTCTCACCATTTAAAACGACTGGCAGATGTCTGACCGCTCAATCATCACACCCGGCAAGAGTCTATGTGACCCGAGGGCCAGCGCCGTGCTGAGGACTGAACCTGGTCCTTCCTGCACTCAGCAAGTGCGGTCCTGAAGTCCCCAGGCCTTTGACAAGGCACCCAAAGCCGCGGGGCCTGGTTCCTTAACAACATGACAACTATTTTCCTTCCAAAGATGGGCTAAGGATGTGTAAGTTTTACAGAGAATAATTATATGAACAGAAAGAACTAGTGACCACTCACACATGCCAGCTGGCACTGTGACTTCCACTCTGATCACACACGAGTGACATCAAAATAAGGACACGTTAATGACAAAGATTGAATGTTGACAGAGGAGTTCCATCACCTTTTTGACTTTGGCACGCTCTAGCCTCCTGAAAGGCAGACAACTTTGATAAACTATTGGCCACCATTCTCGGCAGCTTTGGAGTCAGCCTCTAACCTGTCCCTACATCAAGTCTCCGACGCCAGCACACAGAGCTCGCGGTCACAGACACCCCCCCCCACGTGGAATGGTCCGTGGCGCGTGGCAGGGTCTTTCCAG